AGTATTTTCGCCCCTTCCCAAAATTACTTCAATGGAAGGTTTCCAGATGGATATGCGAAGTCAGGTTAGTAAAACATAACTTCATTGTATTTATCTCCATCCATCTCCCATCTACATGTTTCCTTCTGAATGACTTTGCTAATTGTTTTCTTACTTTTGCATGTAAACCATTTTTTTTTCTGAACACATTGCCTTTGTCCCTACATGATTCCTAAAACCAGGACTTCTTATAATCTTTCAAGAAGCAGTAACCAAAGGCCAGACCTGTGGAGTGCATGACAAAATGTTTTCCTCTTGTGATCTCTACAGCTCCTGCAGGGTTATCATGGGTTTTCTGTCTCTCGTCTCTGACTGATGCTCTTCCTGTCTGACTTGTTGGTTCAGGATTTAAACTTTCTCACTCCTTTATCCCGTTTATGACTGTCTTCCAAAGTGTACTAGTGGTATGAATGGGATTTTTTTAGTCTCTGTGTGATGAAAAATAAAACTTTTGGAGAAAAGGACTTAAACCGAGACTTAAACCCAACTAGGAGACAAAAAATGAGCTAACCTCAGTGCTGTCTGTCTGATATGTTCTTGGAGGTGACCTAGATTGGGAACGGCGTCACAATAGATTCACAATTGCTTACTGTCTCCAACTGATTCAATAGGCAATCTTTCTATCGACGGCTCTCTGTGATAGCATCAATGTGTGGGTTTGTGTGTGTCTGGGTGTGTGTTATCTACAAGGAAGGACAGGGCAAAGATAAGAAAAGTGGGAAATTCAAAGGAAAAAGATGGAAAGGAAGGAAGGTTGTGCAATTAAAAAGGAGAGGGCAAAGGTTGGATATAAGAGAACAGAGAGGGGAGGGAGGGACACTCTCCCTCTCCTGTCTGTGTCTTGTTGTCTGTCCAAGCCCCTCTCCAATCTCCAAGTGCTCTATAACAAAAAACAAAAAAAAGAGCTGACAGTGTAAGCCGGGAAGCAGCCAAGGTGTCAGCGCTTTCCTTTGACCAGGAAGAAGGGGAGGGAAGAGAGCTGGATAAGGTGATGAAACATAAAAAAGGAGGAAACAGAAAAACAGAATTGAGAGAGAAGAGAAGAAGGAGGCTATTTTATTTATTTTCCAGGCAGCATATCCTGAATCTGCATTCCCGCCTCCTGAAACTTTTACACTCATCCCGGTGTGTGCAAACCCTCGGCAAGTGCAGATAGAATTTTGACAAGACGGAAATTGATTCCCAGGCTCAACATGCAGGTGTTGTAAGTCTACTCCCATCCTGAGAAGAGTGCAGTAGCACCTACATAATGGATTCTAACACAACCATACATCCAGTCTATATCCTACAGGCCCACATCACAGGATTCCTGCAATCCCCACAAAGCTGAAGGTGTCTTTTTATATGAAATAACATTTATGAGCGACCAGTGCTTCTAAATCAAGAACATGTTCAAATACTTTGCAGATCAGTTAAACTGTTAAAAAAGAAACAACCCCGTCACTGAGTGACAACATGCCGTGTTTTGCCCCTCATCTCGTATTTATGGTGGGAGGAGCCGTTTTGCAGGGAGCCGAGGAGCGAAGAGACGTGGGGAGAGTAAAGAGCTGACAAAGTGAAGAGCGAAGCCACTCCAGCAGCCTCCTGCCACCAGCACACAATAACCCAACAGAGGACAAAGGAAAAGGAGAGGAGAGCAATGGAGTGTTCCCTTCAGAGAGGAATCTGTCACTCGCTCTCTGCCAAACGTTGTAAAGGCTTCTAAATAAAACGCGACAGACGCTGAAGGACGCTTCGGGAAAGAGGTTCAGGCAGAAGGGAGACTTTGAGGTTTATAATTGCATGATCTCTATAGACTCTGTTTCTGTGTTCTACTGTATTTCATCAAAACGCCCTGATTCAAGAACAAGCACATGCTGTACAATAATAAACAGGCATATCTTTGAAAATCAATATCATCATTTTAGTATTTCAGGTTAAAAAAGTGAAACTTACGGTTATATAAATGTACTTATACACACTGAGTTATATACTTTAGGCATTTATTTATATGATAATAGATATAAAGGAAAGAATACACACTGGAAAAAATCCAAATCTAGATAGCCTAAGTCATTTTTTCTTAAAATAAGAGCATTTGTTCTTGGATTGAGGAGGTAAAATGACATTCTGCCAATGGAACAAGACAATTTACATTTAAAATAAGAAAACACAATTGCATTGTCTTATTTCAAGTGCATATTATATAATTATCTTATTTTAAGAGTAACAACACTCATTCCATTGGGAAACTACCTCGTTTACCTACTCAAATTTAGGGTAAATACACTTAATTTAGGAAATTTTAATTTATTTCTAGATTGTTTTTCCAGTGCAGTTTTTCAGAACAATATTATACTAAACACCACCAGTAAGAATTGATTTCTTGCACAGCAATGTGCTGTTATCACCATCACAACCATCAGGAAGACTATGGATTCAGCCTTTTTTAAGCAGAAGCTCTCTGACCCCCTTCAAACGGAGCCAGCAAAAGTTTTTATTGTTTATATAGAGCCACATACAAGAATGGAAAGGAAAGGGAGATAAAAAGGATGGAGCAAACATTTGTACAAGCTGCAGAGATGGCAGGAGTCTCGAGAGCTTTATGAAGCAAAGCCATGCAAGAGTTAGGAGGAGTTTACAAGATGCAGTCCTCAGCTGGATTTAGAGCTTCAAGAGCCACAACACACAGAGTTACGGGGTATGGGATATGACCTGCAGCAGGCCGACTATATGAAACGGTGTAAAAATCAGCCTTTAAGATAAAAGCCCCTGAGTGTGGAGGAGTTCGGGGACACAGAGTGCGAGGTGCCTGTGGCCCAGTGGAGACTTTTGAAGGCATGTGTTGGTTTGAAAAGCTTTGTTGTCTGCAACTGTCGGCCCACTGCGTTTCATCAAGTTCAAAGCGAAGGTGGCCATATCACGGGACATTTTAGAGATCCTGCTTCCGATGAAGACTATGGCTAAATATATTTAGTGCATAAACTGCAAGGTAAATGGAAATATTGCCATGTCTGTGTTTAGGTTGCACACGGCCTGTACTGAAGATTTTAGAAATTGTACACCCTGTTTTTGGGATGCAAGGTTTTGATACGACCTAATTTTCCCCCAGAAACTTCGCTCAAAACTTCAACATTTCAGAAGCATCACATTAAGGACATCCAACCTTAATGTGGACGAGCAAATGAAGTAGCTGAAGCTTTTTTGATGGCTTGTGGTGTGGATGTAGCATTATGCTACATTGCAGCAGAGGCAGAAGAAGCAAGTAGTTTACTTGCAAGGTCAATGGTGGATGCACATTAAGGCGCAGCAAAAGGTCCTGCAGCGCGTCTGAGCATCTGAGGCCCACAACACACTTCAGAAGCAGCCAACCAATCAGAGAAGCTGATCTGGGAGCTGGCAGGGAGTCAGACGCAGCACTGCTGATGCAGAGCGCTATGATCACTCCTCTGAAACAGTTTATTAACGCCTAAATTAACTTCAAATGTAGAAACCTGCCGGCAGAATATGTTGGCTTTTATTATCCTGCTGCCTGCAGTTTGTAGCACAGACCTGAAAAACGCTAACATCTACTTCCAGCCGCCACCAACAGGAGGGGAAAACCCCCAAGAGGCGAGCGGGCCTGAGGCAGCTGCTGCTGGGGATTCCCAGTGACAGCGCAGCGCCGGTATGTGGGGGTCTGAGCGGCTCCCACAGAGAAATAATCTTTTAAGGCAGGATGAACTGACTGCACAGGTGGACTTTCTCACTTAATAACATATTAAAACTACTTTCCCCCACTGATCACAGCAAATATAGCTGCCATTGTTCCAGGCTAACAAAGGATAGGGTAGCTCCGCCCATCGCGCATCAGACCCACATTTCCATCGCGCAGCTAGAGCAGCAAAGATGCTTCAGCCGCGCGTCAGATCTAAACTTGTACAAGCATCAAAAATGAAGCAGTACGCGCGTTTTTGCTGCTCCTGCTGCGTGCGATCTGAACGTCGCATTAGACTTTATAATCATTTGAATTAACGTATTAAACATAATATTGTTCCTAAAAATGATCTTATCTCTACCATGCTCCTGTAGAGGAAAGCGGAGGACCTCGTCTATTCAGCCAGACCAAAACTCCCCTTTAACGACCTCCCCTTTCAGAGACATAGACAGGTATGGGGCATTGCAGGCTAACAAAAGAAACGACCCCCATTCCAAAGGGGGGGACCCGTTAGTTTTAATTTGCATGTTTTCCTAACCAAAACAAGGCTTTTTTGGGCTACTGTATAAAACCTGGAACTCAACACTAGTTCTGACATTTTGAATTGAAAAAGCTTCCAAGATGGAAGAGAAACATCTTCAAACTTGGAAACAAAGTCCAGAGGATTGTTTTTAATTAACTTTTTTTGGGATCTCATTTCTTCCTAATGAAATTTCCACCTCTAGTCAAGCGAACATATTTCCCATAATCAGGACAAAGGTAGTGTTGGAACAAAGACAAAAACGTAGCTGCATTTAACCTCAACATGCAGGAAATAGCGTTTCAGAGAGTCTAAATTTCAAAATATTCCTAGGTAGGATACCCCTGAACCCGCCTACGCCGTGCAAAGCCTAGCAAGGTGTAAACCCTATGAAATATTCCTAACTAAAAGTCTGCATGTGTTATTTATCATATGTATCTAATACTCTAATGCGAGAACTTTGAGTTTTTATTAGCTATAGTTTTAGTTATAGAATTCACAAAAGTAAAAGCTTGATATAAATCGTGCTGATGTGGTTTCTGAGTTGAGTGGAATTGCCTCCTTATTTTTTGCATGGGGCTCATCCTCCATGTGGCAGATCCAGCTTTAGAAGGGCGCTCTGCCGATGAGCTTTCAGCTGCTGCTTCTCCCTTTATCATTTGTTGCCAGTCCTCTTTTCAAATCAGATTTCCTCAGCCCACCTCCCTGGCTCCTCTCACTTATTTCTCTCCTTCTCCTCCCGTTCCTCCATGTCTCTGTGTGCAGCGATCAACTTGCTGGGCCTGACGTGGCAGCTGAAGCCCTCTGACGGCCCTCTGTTAAACAACGGACTGGGAGCCGGTCTGCCTGTCAACAGTGATGTGGCCACACTGCCCTCTGGAGGCAGAGGTATGAACTACCAGCTGCACGCTCCACACCAAGGAGGAACACAGTCAGCCTTAAAAAAAAAATAAAAATGGAGTAATTATTTTGGATTATTCAAATCCCCTTTTTTGCAGTAGTTCAATGTGACACATATCGAACCAAATAGATGCCCTACTTTCCTGTTATGAGCTTGAATCATTTCCAAACACTACATGTCATTCTGGTACTATTCACTGCATTACTCTGAAAGATTCACATCAAAATTAAAAATCCTATTTTGATTGATTTGTTAAATATAGATGTATTTACTGCATGAATGAATTAGCCTGAGTCTGCGTTCCTCCACATTTGTAGTTAGGTTAACGCTGAGAGAAACGCAGACAGTTTTTATCCTTGGGGGAGCTTCCAAAAAGCATTTGCTTGGTAACACACAATTCAATAGATTTATCCACTCAAACACACTTGCAGCTAAATTATTGATGCAGTTGGTGACGCAGCGCTGGATCTGCTAACCTGTTTTAAACACGGCAAGTTGTGTCGAGCTCGGTTTATCTTTTCATTCGGCGCCGAGGTAAAAACTCCCCTCTCTCACCTCCTCTGTCTTAAAAGGGCCCCATGCGGCTTTCTATCTGTTCTTTCTCACTCGCTCTGAAGCGCACGCAGCGTGTGCTATAGATGTTTGGGGCTGCTGCTCTGTGTCTGTATTCGGCATTAATGAGCGGGCCGTTGTGCTCTGTTCCTCGGCCATCTTGGCCAGATGCTGCTGTTGCTCGCACACATACCGTCTCTGTCTTTCTCCGTTTGCACCCTGACGCTCCTCTGTTAGATGGCTGACCTGATTCCAGGATGCTGTGTGTTTTTTCACTGTACTCTGAAGGCTCTTTGAGCCCAGAAAGCAAAGTCCTTTAGAGTTTAAGAAAAAAAAGTTTTATTTTGAGTCCCAACATGAGATGCAAGCCTGTGTGAGGAAGTTTTGGCACCGAACATCAACATGGTGGATCCTGCCTGTTGGTTAAACAGGAGCTACAGTGTCCGGAGAGAGGACGTGCTCTTAGATCTCTCAGGATGAGGATTTCAGCATTTCAATTAAATTCTATTCAGTTTATTTCTATAGCTCCAATTCACATCATGTCATCTCAGGCCACTTTCCAGTTCACCAGATTATCCAGTAAGATTGATTCAAAGTTTTCTATCTAAGGAAAACCAGCTGATTGCATCGACTCATTGACTCTTCAGCAATTCCTCACACTAAGCATGCTTGTAGCGACAGTGGAGAGGAAAAACCCCCTTTAACCAGGAAGAAACCTCCAGCAGAACCAGGCTCAGTGTGAGCGGCCATCTGCTGAGGCCGAGTAGTACCGTAGATCATCACTAGGAGGCAAGGAATCGTGCTAGTGTGGTGTGTAAATGGTCGTAACGAACCGAGCTCGCCACGGATCGTTTTTCAGAGGGTAGGGAAGTTTTCTATCTAAGGAAAACAAGCTGATTGCATCGACTCATTGACTCTTCAGCAATCCCTCACACTAAGCATGCTTGTAGCGACAGTGGAGAGGAAAAACTCCCTTTAACCAGGAAGAAACCTCCAGCAGACCCATCGCTAAATGATTAAAACTGACTCTAAATTGATACGGTTCCTTTAGATTTTCTTCTGGGTTCTTTTGTGACCTCCTGGAGAAATTGTTGACGTTTCCTGGAGGGGTTTGCTGCTCCTCTGAAGGTTCAACCTATTTTCTTCATTTGTAGATGGAGCCTGGAGTCAGACGGAAATGCCAATGTAACCCTATAGTGATGGATAGATGTCAGAGAGTTTGATAATATTCTGTTAAATTTCTTAAAGCTTTAAGACAGATTTATTTCGGGGGAAATAGGGGGTTTGAGGGAGTCTTATCCCTTAATTAATAAAAGAATAAATCAAATCCTTAAGTCAGAATTTACTCAAATTATCTATTATTAATGATTAAATAATTTAATAAAAAAAAAATGAATGTTACTGTTTTCTATTACTATATGTGCAGCCTAAATATTGCTGAATATTGCCTAAATACCAAGTATCACGTCTTTGAACTACTTGCTTCAACCAACTGAGGGTCTTCTAGTTATTTTTGCTGTGGGGATTTTCAGCCATTCAATCCCTCAAAAGGTTAACGAGGCTCGTCTCGTATGCTTTGCTCTTTCAAGGTCTAACCGTAAATACCTGACAATATTCAGACGTTGTGACCCTGAGGGGGGAGAATTATGAATCACGCTGCCTATGTCTATTGACAGAGACCATCATGGATTTCAAGTGTGCTCATAAGGAATATCGTTTTTATTTTCTGGTACTAGCGGGGCGGAGATCATTTCCGTTGTTGTAATACTGTTCAAAAGGATAAAGGTCACAGAAATAAAATAAAAAATAAATAACCTTCCTATTAGAATGGCAAACTGGTAAATAGAAATAATGATAAAAGTTTCTCTAATATAAAAAATACACAAAAAGACATTAAAAGGCATTTTATTATTTATTCATTTTTTATGTAAGACACATTTCTACAATCTCCCTGCAGGATGATCCATCATATTAGAAAAGAAATGTGGGAATTTAAGCCTGAATCAAACTATATTCAAACATTTTACTAAACATAAACATTTTATGATATTTTGAACAAGAATTGCTCCTGAATTCTTCATATTCTGTCATCCTACAACCTCAGACTTCAACACAGTGGGCCTTTAAAGTGATACCAACACAAAGTATAGTGTAATTATACATGTTCTGGGTTTTTTATTTCTCTAAAACCAAATATGCTTTCTGCCGATATCAAACTTTAAATGAAAACACTGTTATCATCATAAAACATTGTGGTGGCAGCATCATGCTGAGGGAATTCTGGTTAGAGTTAATGGGAACCCAGTGGAGGAAGATCCTGCTGATATTGAGGCAGAGTTAAAGCTTTACATGAAGCCAGCTAAACATGGCATCTAGAAAGGTTTAAGGCATTAAAAAATAATTGACCTATGTCTGGCTGAACCAATTAATCAGGATAATCATGATTAATTGATTATTGTAATAATGGAATTTAAATCTAATTTAGTAATCGATTAATCAAAAACTGGAGTATAGAGACTATAATAAAATACGTCTTTAGCTGACTGAGTGACCCACTTAGAGCAGGAATTATACTTAAATTGTAAAACAAATATATAAAAATTTTTGTATTTAAGATAAATATGTTTGCAACTATCAATATTCTCTATCCAGAATTCCTCAAGTGGAAACATTTCAGATTCACCTGGTTTAATTTTGTACAATATCTCCTTTAAGGAACCTTTGGCTATCTGATTATTAGCTTGGTTCTTACGGCCATTTACACATAACGCTAGCACGGTTCCTCACCTCCTAATGCCGATAATTACGCAAACAAAAATGGTAGCACCCATAACATGCAGGACCTTAGGTGCCTGGATAGCGTCCTCCGGCCAAATTTCAATGAGAGCCTCTGTCTCTGCATCATCCCAGGTAGCACCACGCTCTTTTCATGCCATTTACTGTTAATAGGTTGAGAAGGATTTCGTTTTGTGAACAGGTGAAGAGATCTGGGAATTGCAAAGCCGGATACACCAGAAAACCCGCGAAATGAGTCAGCTGATTGTAAATAGGAGATGAGGCGGTCTGCTCATGCGCTCTTTATCCCCATTTCCTCTACCCTTTAGGAACTGTGCCGAGATTGATCCGAGCACGGTGACCGAGGTAACTGTTCAGTGCAAATGTTACGCAGAACTGAACCGGACCGTGCCAGACACAACCGAACCGCGCTAGCATGGTACAAGTTCATCAGTAGGGCTCGACGCGGTTCAGTTCTGGCTCGGTTCGCAGATAACAAAGAGCGAACAAGCAGACCGCGTCATCTCCTTAAAGTCAGCCTCCGTAATTATTGATAAAAATCCTTGCTTCCCTACCGTCACTCACGATTTCCAGTGATGATTCTGCTTAGCATTGCGATGAATCTCATTGTCTGTCGTTGTTTCCCTGCATCTGGAAGCCCTGATTAGACTATCGCTTGTCGTATCCACTTCCCAAAAGCCGAATCTGTTAAGTAGACTCCCCAAAAGCGGACTCTTCACAAGCTTCCTTAACATTACAAGCGCCGCCACGTTAGTTTGCTTGTTTACCTCTAGAGAGCAGTAATTCAATTTAAATTCGGTTTATTTCTATTGCGCAAATTCACAACATATTTCCAGTTCACCAGATCATCCAGTCAGATTGATTCAAAGTTTTCTATCTAAGGAAAACACGCTGATTGCATCGACTCATTGACTCTTCAGCAATCCCTCACACTAAGCATGCTTGTAGCGACAGTGGAGAGGAAAAACTCCCTTTGAACAGGAAGAAACCTCCAGCAGAACCAGGCTCAGTGTGAGCGGCCATCTGCTGAGGCCGAGTAGTACCGTAGATCATCACTAGGAGGCAAGGAATCGTGCTAGTGTGGTGTGCAAATGGTCGTAATGAACCGAGCTCGGCACGGATCTTTTTTCAGAGGGTAGGGTAAATGGGGGGCCCTACTGTAGAACTAGTACTAGATTTAGATTTAGTTAGGTTGTTCCTGACACGGTCCAGTTCAAGGTTTTATTTCATACGTCAAAACAAAGCTTTAACTTGGAAATTCATGCTGTAGATCAGTGGTGCTTTTTTACTCTTTGTTTTTCTAAGCAATATTTAATCCATATGTTTTGCTGCTACATAAAAATGCTAATGAATAACGGTTATAATGTGTTATTCTACTGTGGTTTCCCCCCCCAGGTCCATGGGCAGGGCGGAACACCAGCATAGACAGCGGTAACATCGAGGTGGGGAGACGGGTGACCCAGGATGTCCCTCCCGGAGTGTTCTGGAGATCCCTCCTCTACCTCAGCCAGCCGCAGTTCCTGAAATTTAACATCTCTCTCGGGAAGGATGCCCTCTTCGGAGTTTACATTCGCAAAGGCCTGCCCCCCTCACACGCACAGGTACTCAGCAGAACTGCTGTTTATGCTCATCATTAGAGCTTCACAATGAGCTAATGAGCTACTTAGAATATACAACAAGGATAAAAGTTCATTAAAAGAAATAAATGCTTTTGTTGCATTGCTCATTTAAACATTAGTTACAAGTTAGAAAAGCTGTTTGTAAAAAGAATAATTCAAAGATTTCCGTCTAATTAAGTTTCACAGTAATGCAACTTCTACTGTCTCCTGTTAATTAGTGGCTCATTTAAAAATAGATTTTATGGAAAAGGGATAATTTCATCCAGCTAACTGCTCCATTACCTGACATAACTTAAGCTTGAGTCCAAAGTCAAGAAGTAAGGAAACCCAAGAGAACAAGGCCCGCATGACGAGGAGTGATTTTCCTCCTAATATGCCGAAAACACCTTGTATGTAGTTCAGGCTTTCACGGTTGCAGCGTGCAGCACATTTGTTTCATGCCCACCAAGCAGCTGGCCTGTTAAACTGTAAAGGAAGAAAAGAGCAGGTGGCTTGGCTGTTTAAATGAATTAGCTGACCAAGCAGAGCAGATTGGGATTTTGGGGAAGCTGTCCTTTTACAACTTGGATTAAAATGAATAATGATGTTGGTAAAAAGGTGGGAAAATGAACAAACGGCGCTCTCATACAGAAAGCGTTGCATGTTTTAGAACATAAATTGGACCATTATGAGCCGTTAATATCTAACCTGAGGAAGTTCAGGTTTGGCGTCTTCCGTTTGTTTAAAAGCTAAAGTTTAAGGTGACTAAGGTGACTTTACCGTCTTAAATCACCGCCTGTCTCAGAAATGTCATAGCAGTTAATGCCAATGCTAATATAGGAACCTTCTCACCTTAACTTTTGCACTGTCGTCAATGAAGGCAGCTGTTCTTGGAAAAATAAGGTCTTATGCTACGTTCAGACCGCAAGCAGCAGAAGCAGCTAGTTCAGATGCAGTCTATGTTTGAGGTGCATCAAAAGGTCCTGCAGCACATCTTCATGCAGCTAAAGCACGGCCTCATAAGCGCCTCTGAGGAGCGCAAAGCACTTCAGAAGCGGCAGCTGCTGTAGTTGGAAACATTGAACTTTATCTGCTGGATGCGCCTCATCAACCAATCAGAGAAAGTGATCTGGGAGCTGGCAGGGAGTCAGACACAGCACTGCTGATGCAGAGCGCTATGATCACTCCTCTGAAACAGTTTATTAACGCCTAAATTAACTTCAAATGTAGAAACCTGCCGGCAGAATATGTTGGCTTTTATTATCCTGCTGCCTGCAGTTTGCTAGCCTCGTGAGACCATCCTGATCTCGCGAACTTTCAAGATTTCACTCGCTAATCAGTCTGGAGACTCTCCATTAAAGAAAATTTCGAGCCGTTCATCAAACGAACGTCCAATCAGCGTTGGCTTTGAGGCCGGTTGAGGTGTGACGCAACGAGAAGCGCGACAGTTCAGTCTAAAGAACATGGCGGCTTCAGCCGATGAAACTAGCGTTAGCGTGGCTATCGAGCAAGTTTTATGGGAATTACAGAGTATTTCTTCACTGAAAGAAGAGCAAAACACTGCTCTGGAGGCTTTTCTCAGAGGAAAAGATGTTTTTGCTCTTCTCCCGACTGGCTTGTGGTTGTGTTTTCGTCGTCGCTCTGTTAGTACGTCATATGCTTCGTTGATCTGATTGGTTTATTTGGCCCGTCTATCACCAACATAGGCCAATCAGCTAACCAGTATTTTCGCCCCTTCCCAAATTTACTTCAACGGAAGGTTTCCAGATGGATATGCGGAGCAAATCCATCATCTGGCGGAGTCAGGTTAGCAGTTTGTAGCACAGACCTGAAAAACGCTAACATCTACTTCCAGCCGCCACCAACAGGAGGGGAAAACCCCCAAGAGGCAAGCGGGCCTGAGGCAGCTGCTGCTGGGGATTCCCAGTGATTCCCGGTATGTGGGGGTCTGAGCGGCTCCCACAGAGAAATAATCTTTGAAGGCAGGATGGTAATCTGGATGAACTGACTGCACAGACCATGTTTTCAGGAGGACTTTCTCACTTCAACATAGATTCTAACTACTTTTTACTCACTGATCACAGCTAATATAGAAAAGCTGCTCTCTGGCATCGAACACAGAAGCATCAGAAGCATCTGGACTTACTTTACTAGACGGCTGACCTTAATGTGGACAAGCATCAGAAATGAAGCAGCAGAAGCTTTTTTGATGCTGAATTAATGTGGTGTGAATGTAGGATTTGTCTTATTAAACAAGAAGGAGATCGGTGGTCTTCATTCAAGCATTTATTAATCCCTGCAAGGCAGAACAGATACAGGATTTTCCAATATTCTGTCTATTCTGTTCATGCAAAGAACTTCACTAACTACTGAAAACTGAAACGGACAGCGGGGAGGGATTTACATGCAACCAAAGACGGTTAAAGCTATGTTTGCTTTCTTTTCCAAATCTCCCAAAGTTGAAACCAGTGAACTTAACTTAAGCCTGAGCGAATACTTAAGTGCAAAAAAACTAAACAAAAACTGTTAGCATTTAGGTTTTAAAATGGAGGAAAAAAGAAATAGATGGAAAAAAAAGTCCCAGCACAGCAGCATATCCCTTATTATCTCCCCGTGTCAAACAGAGATAAAGGATCATGTAAAGCAGCTCCTGTAACAGAAACTCTCTGGTCGATATTGTAATTAATAGTTTTGAAAATCAGCCCCTTAATCATAATATGATGTTATATTGACCTGTTTGGACAATTAAATTATGTTTTTCCAACATCAGATTTTTTTTTTTTCTGATTTGATTTCAGTTAATTTGAAATCACAAGTGGCTGAAAAATAAATAGCAGTAACAATCTGATTAATGTTAAAAACTTCTCAAATATTATTAAAAACATTTTATATCCAATGTCTAACATTTACATTTAAATTAATCAAAGCATTCTTATAATTACATTAAAAAAAATTTGATCACCTGTTCACTCTAGTCCCTTGCCTGTAAATTTCAAAATAAAAGCCTATCTTAAAGATTTTGATATGGATTTTTTTTTTTTTCCATTTTGCATCAATTTAACAGGATTGTTGTTATCTGTGTTTTAATGCAAAGCGATGAATTATGGATATTGTTATTAAGACTGTATTAAAATAAATTTAAAAGTCTTCAACTAAACCATTGCAGAATATATTTTATATAAAGCTTTACATTTATGAATAAAAGCTTTTTAGAAAAAGGAGTTTTCATGCTCTGCTATCAGTGATGATGTCATTAGCGGCCTTCTGTAAATTACAGTACAAACAAAATGTGACAGGTCTTAAAATGGCAACAACATTATAAAACTGGAGCTGTTTTAGGACAATGGATGTCCTCTTTGGTCTTCGCTCCTCTGAGCAGAGGCGCCACCAGAGGTTGGCCAGGGGTGGCCCCCCTGTGCAATGCCCTGGCCATCCCACTCGCCAGGGGAAATTGTAGTAGCTTCAGATTAGTATTTCATCCAATTCTGCACACCCACGGACGTAACATTAAAAATAACACAATAAACCTGTTTACCAAAGTCTTTAAAATTCCACAATACTAGATTCAACCCCTGAAATTATGGCTTTTAGTTTCAGTGGCCACCCAAAGATTTTAGTGGCCCCATCTGGCCCCCCTATGAAACATTTTTGGAGGTACCACTGGCTCTTAGCTCAGTGTGTAGCTCACTAAGGGAGCGAAAATGGTTACCTACTTTAGGTAAAATATTTACTGCCCTTAACCAGAAACAGCAAAACGCTGAATTGTCCCGATAAAATGGATTTGCTCTTGAATTTCTCTGCAGTATGATTACATGGAGCGCCTGGACGGGAAGGAGAAGTGGAGCGTGGTGGAGTCCCCCAGGGAAAGGAGGAGCATCCAGACGGTGGTTCTGAACGAGGCGGTGTTTGTCCAGTACCTGGACGCCGGGGCCTGGCACCTGGCCTTCTACAATGACGGCCGGGAGAGGGAAACGGTTTCCTTCAGCACAAACGTCATGGGTGAGACCGACAGAACGTTTCACTCCTCAGGCTGGAGGGAGAAACGGAAACGTGACTAAGAGTCACAATTTAAGAGATAGTTTTTAATACCAGTGACACTGCCACGCCTGAATGACTTCACACATTGAGAGTGTGTAAAAACACTCACCAGCAGCATGTGCAAAATGCTGCCAAAAGCTATACAACTGCAACAGCTTTGCCACATAGGATCGGCCACTCAGCGAGCTGAAGAGGTTTTCTTTTGCCAAAGATAGATACTCATCCAAACATATGCATCAAAAGAAACAACACCCTCAGCTGTTTAGATAATTTTTCTGTTCTGGTGTGTCCTCATTAGGGTTGCCAACTCCCTGACCCGGTTGCCTTTAGCCCCTTTTTTTTTTTTTTACTTTTTGACTCAAATCTGCATTGAATTAGATGCATATTTGTAGTGTGCTTTATATTCCTTATTGCAGAGTTTTTCCACCCAGGTAGTTGTTTTTCCCATTCCTTCCTATATTTCTGCATCCTTTTTTTTTTTTGGAAGAGGAGCATCGCTATGCGAAGATGCACCGCCCCCAAAAAGCAGCGTCAGCATTTAAATTCCTCCGTTCCTCCCCCATAATGCTCTGATGTCTCCCGCTATCTTCTCCGTGAGCAACACTTGGCTCGACCAATGGGATGAGGGGATTCTGGATCGTTGCAGCTCATTGGTGACAACGCAGGACAGGGCCAGGGAACAAATTTAACATAAGTTTTGTATAGTTAGGATAATTATCATTGATGATGTGTGAGTTTATTACACCTTAATATTAGCTGCCTGTTGCGTGTCTGTGGAAGAGGATTAGGGCACTGAAAAAAAAAAAAAAAGTTAACTGATTGTTTTTATTTTATTTCAGTATAGTATGGGAAAAAAGTCAGAATTCTGACTTTTTTCTCAGAATTCTGACTTTAATCACAGAATTCTGACTTTTTCCCATACTATACTGAAATAAAATAAAAAAAATCAGTTAACTTCTTCTTTTTTTCAGTGGCCCTAATCCTCTTCCGTACGTGTAAGAGCTGATGTTTTCTACAATAGTTTATCTTAAAGTTTGCTTTCAGTTATTATTATGAGTTACCACATACTACTTGGCAGTCAAAACATTATAACTTAGAATCCTATAAAATAAACTAATAAGCTCTTTTACACAAAGAAAAAAAGGGATAAAAAGACAACTGAAAGATTTTTTTTATATATTTTGGAGCTACAGGAATCAGAGTGTCCCAGTATAAGGTTGAATATAAGACAAGAAGTCCAAATTGTACCACTGTAGAATCAGAGCTATAAAAAAAAAAAAAAAACATAAGCACGATATTTTGTGGCATACTTTCTGGTGGCCCAAGAACCCAAAGCTCACCGAACCCCTTAAAAAAAACACTGGAGATATTTAAAAGGGAATCAGAATCAGAAATACTTTAATAATCCCAGAGTGAAATTACTTTTGTTACACGCTCCAGTTACAGTTTTATATAATATATACACACATCCAACTATACAATATAATAAAGATAAAAAAAATAAGAATAAAAAGAGATAAAATATATACATTTATAGCTCTTCTGAGGGAATCTCCTCGCTTCTGTGCGGCTGCAGCTGTGTGGTTGGTCCATCACTGGCTCTCCTCTAGTGATGCAACTTGTTCAGGTTCAGGCGGAAACACCAGGCTTTCTGTGTATGCACCTTGGAGCCTTTTCTCAAAAACTCTTTAAATAAAACTTCAAAACATATATGTATTAAATAACCAGGAGACACGAACAGATTCTGATAGAAATTATAATCTTACTCAGATCAGAGAAGTTGCTTAGAGTTACAGAAAGCAGCTGCTTACCAACCACGCTCACCTCTCAGGAAGTGGCCTCCATTAAGAGACATTTTATACATCTTTAGTCTGCCACATCATCACATCATTACATCAAACATGTTTGCAAATGAGGAGACATCCATCACAATATTACACTTTGTTCTTAGCTGAAGGACGCCGCTCTTTTTCACTTCCGGAATATTTGCCACGTGCAAAATAAAGATTATAACTGTTTATCCAGACAGAGGAACTGTCTTAATTAGATAAACTATTGTAGAAAACATGAGTTCTGACACTAAACAGGCAGCTAATTTTAAGGTGTAATAACCTCACACATCATCAATGATAATTACTAGAGATGCACGATATTAGGATTTTGGCCAATATCCGATATGCCGATATTTTAAAACTCATGTAGCCGATAACCGATATCGATACCGATGTTAAAGCTGGACAACAATAAGTAGTCATTGAAAATAGCAGTTTTGTTATCCATTTCTGACACTTTGAAAAATAATGAACTCAAATATATTTTCATATCCTGATATCAAATAGATTTTTAAAAACGCGGTATCGATCTATTTTACTTTCAAAATCTGGTGAAATTTCATCGTTCTGTTACCAACTCTCGTGATATTTTGCAAATTCTTGTGAGATTGTGTTAGTAAAATAGATCGATACCGCGTCAATATATCAACATATAAAAATATGGCAACATTTGGTGAGTTTTCGGGGGATTTCGTAGCATAACGATGACATATAGCAATATTTCATTAGTAAAAGAGATTGATATGGTGTTTTTAAATGGCAATATATCAGCATATGAAGATATTGGGATATTTTAATGGATCAATATTTTTTCCCTCATCTTTAGAAGTTTTTAAGTCTGTAAAAAAGAAGTTTTTGAGGAAGAAGAAGAAGTAGTATTTTTTTTTTTAGACTTTAGAAACTCAGAAGCTGATCAAATATCGGGTTAAATATCGGTGGGGTGGCCGATGTCCGATATTCAGTTTTAAGGCCGATACCGATAGGGGGCCGATTATATCCTGCATCCCTAATAATTATCCTAACAGTATCTAACGTGCCATTGTTCTTCATTTTTAGCTTTTTACTATTTTGTTACTCAAAGTACGTTCCTTTTCCGCTAAATACGGTACTTCGACTTCTAAATACGGAACGAATCAGTTTTTCATGGCAACCCTAGTCCTCATTTAAAGAAAAATATCAATATGAATCTGTTTCACAGCCTGGTGAAAGTGTATGAATTTGGTTTTTCTGAAGTCAGAAAATAATTTCAGATGTGCAGGAGCTGTGAGTATGGGAACAAGGGGGGGTGGGGGGGGGGGGTAGACTCAAAGAATCCTTCACTGTCAATATAAAGCAGAGAGAGCACTCTCTGCTGCAGGAGTATCATGGGAAGATGAAGAGGTGGAGAGGTGGCAGGGACAGAATTAGAGCAACTAGTAAGAATGAGAGGTAGTAGGAGGAAAGACATAATGGTGGTGGTGGGGGGGGGGGAGTGAAGTGGATTAAAGGGGGGTGGAGGAGGAGGAGAGGGTGGCATTAGGGTAAGAGGGAGACAAGGGGTTCAGATTTAGGGGGGAAGTCTTGGTACATAGAAGAGGTGGGAGGCTCATTGAAAGGAAGAAGAGATGGATAAAAGTCCAAAACACCATCTTTGTGATTAGCATCCACTCTGTGACTTCCCACCAAACGGCTCTCTTTGTAAGTGGGTTGAGAGGCACTAAAACGCGCGGAGAGCAGCTGAAGTCGTGTAATTCATCGAAGTCTCTGAGACCCTTCCGTGCCAAACAGCTATAAACCTGGATGAAGTATCCATGACCCCCCCAAATCCAAACGGGAGTCGTGCATGAATACAGAAAGAAACAGGAGCCTTAGAGAACAAGCCAGTTCTTCTTCTCGCTGCATGTAGGAAGCAGTTTCACCTCAAGAACTTCCCCTGGGAAGCGGACCAAGCTGGCGCCCCAACGCGGAGGAAGTAGAGCACTCACAGATTCATATAATAAGACTGAAATGAAATGTTATGCTGGTGGTCAGTGGCCAGCAGCGAAATAATGAGGAATCATTTTACTTCCTATGAAATGCTGAATATTTGGGAGAAACTTTAACATTGTGGATTTGTTGAACATTCAGAGCGTCTGACCTCATCTTTGTCAGCCATCTCACAATCACCTACGCAGAAAGAAGCGCCGCCGTGAAGACAGATTTCTGCTAAACTCTGCTGTATTTCCTGACAAAGCTTGCAGAGCTAAAGTAAAGGGTTCTGTCCATACACTACAATGAAAAACAGAGAGAAAAAGCGATGGTTGGAGTGTTGGAGGAGCGTGTTTGCGTTTGATGTCTGTGCAACCAAGAGACTCGGAGCGCCATCAGTTTGTAGAGCGCTAAAGCATGAATGGTGCCAATGATTTAATGAAATGCTTTGATGCTTGGCATCAAACTCTCTGAACCCTCCCCTCTCCTTCTCTCTCTGTCTCACTTCGTCTTCCTCACAGATTCGGTGCAAGAGTGCCCGCGCAATTGCCATGGCAACGGAGAGTGCAACTCGGGCGTTTGCCACTGCTTCCCCGGATTCCACGGCATGGACTGTTCCAAAGGTATTAGTTGTGTACAAATCCCGTCAGAGGAGATCTTGTCATTTCCGCGGCCTAATTAGTTGTCTGTGCGAGTAGTGAGAGAGGATTAAGAGCAGCAACATGGCGCATGGCCTTAGGTGAAGCTAAGACAAGATGACTGATGATGAATGGCAGCTCCCTGAGCTAACGACTCCCCGGCTCCGCTCTCACCTGGGATAGACAGCTTTGATGAATAGTTTAGTTACCTCTGCTTGTAATTACTCTTTATGTCATCGGCGCTCTGCGCCCCTTTTTAACCACTCTATTCACTCTCCTGCATGCTTGGGTGTGAATCTGTCCTGCAAATCAACTTAAAAAATATCTTTGCTAATGTGCATGGTTTAATCTCCCTTCCTCCTCCCTCTTCGTTTTCTCTTCCTCTTCTCCAGCTGCTTGCCCGGTGCTGTGCAGCGGCAATGGCCAATACGACAAGGGTTCCTGTGTGTGTTACAGTGGCTGGAAGGGACCCGAGTGCGACATCCCCGTCACGCAGTGCATCGACCCTCTTTGCAGCGGCCACGGCACCTGCACCGATGGAAACTGCGTGTGCTCCATCGGCTACAAGGGGCCAAACTGTGCGGAGGGTGAGAGCAAGCATTTGGTTTGCATGATCTGATCATTCTGAAAATAAGTTGGATAAAAGAAAAGAAAAAAAAAATACACTGACAGGAAAGGATGCAGTACAGCTCGGTAATTAGGTAGGGACCTGATCCGTCACAGGAGCCGTCCTGCACATGCGCCATCAGCTCATTTCCACATCCAGACATGCATCCCTCGATTTTATTTAGTTAAAAACACCTAAATTAAGTTTTTCCCTGCACAAAAAATAGTAAGCGTACAAAAATATATTTCCTGAGAAAAGAAATGCCTTAAAATCCTTTCTGTTTTATCGCCTGCGCCCCATCTGCACAGGAAATGGGATCCTACGCTCCTTCCAGGCTTTGGATTTAAACATAAATCTAGTCAAGCCAATCAGTTTGCTTTAGGAAGCAGAGGATGAGATAATTTTGATCGATTTTGATGCAATCAAGTTGCATTTAAATGGTTAAATGATTAACGACAGCATGGCTAAAGAAGTAGAGCCACTGATCATGAGATGCTATCACTGCAAAAATGATCTAGAAATAAGTAAAAATCTCTTAAATTAAGTGTATTTACCCTTGATTTGAATAGGTAAATTTGATAATATGCCAATGGAATGAGTATTTTTACCCTTAAAATAAGATAATTAGATGAAATGCACTTGAAATAAGAAGATGCAATTGTGTTTTCTTATTTTAAATCTAAATTGTCTTGTTCCATTGGCAAAATGTCTCTTTAATCTCCTCAATTTAAGAAGAAATGCACTTATTTTAAGAAAGACTTATCTAGATTTAGATTTTTTCCAGTGTGTTATATAGCGACTGAAAACTGGATCTGAAGTGAGCGTGAGTGAAATACCAGAAAGGTCTGGCCACTAACTTTATTTGAATGCATGCATTCATGCCCACGTCCCCTTCTAACTAAAGATAGTCTGCAAATTATGGCATAATCTTGTGCTGAGCGAGTGTTCATTCCCTCTATAAGCCAAGATGAAGTATGACACTGCTGCTGAACACATCAGTGACTTTATTAAGAGCTGAATTCGCTTCTATTGATCCTTACTAAGAAGAGGATCCTGCTCGTCAGAAAGCAAAGGAGAGGGACCGGAAAGGTGAGTCGTGGTGCTGAAAGGTGAACATCTATGAAGTGGGAGAGAAAAGAGAAAGCTGCGAACTTGAGTTTGAAGATAAGGGAGGAAACAAAGGGAAGAAAGATGTCAAATGATAAAAGAAGTCCAAAAAAAAACCTGAAAGGACCCGAGAACAAGGTCACCGTTTTCCGCTGCGTCCTCTTCATCCATCCAGGCAGCCTCCCCCTCTCTTCTGCTCTCATTTCTGATATTCATCACGGCAGAGTCCCTCAAACAATTTACCTGAAGTGCCAGCGACACGAAAATCGATAAGTGTGATCCGCCGTTTCTGCCGGGCAAACAGAAACGGAGAGGCCGGGGGAGGTCAGCTGCGAGCTTGTGCTTTTATTAATTTGTGTGCCAAACAAAAAAAAGAGAGGCTATTGCACGGTCAGCTGGGCCCGAGGTGAGAGAGAAAGAGACTGGGGGTGTCGTACACGACGAGATGGGGAGGGGAGAGGAAGAGGGAAAGTGTGACCGGGACAGAGCAATGACAGGCGGCCCGGAGAGGGGTGGGCGGATACTGTGCCGAGAGGAGGTAATTTGTCAAATTGGTTTTCACTCACTGCTCAAACTCACAGCTGCCCGTCAACCTGGCAGACTGACAGTGTCACATCCCCCCCCCCCCCCCCCTCTGAATCACGTCTGCTTTTTCACATAGAAGGATTTTTGCTCTCTTTGTACTTTCAGCTATCCTTTACCGTCTGCTTTAATTGCTTTATTAAAACGTCTGCTGATGTTTTCCTTCATTTCATAATCCCTTTTTGTGTCTAACCAATTAAATTCGCGCCTTGTTCAAGCCTTTTCTTTGATAACTCATTTTATAATCTACCCTGGTGTGCGATTTCGCAGCCTGTCTCGGCTTCTCTTCATCTGTTTGTTCCTTCTTTTTTAAACGCTGCTGTATCTTTTTTTTTTTTTTTGGCTTTTAATGCAGTGGATTGCCTGGACCCGACGTGTTCCAACAACGGCATCTGCGTGAACGGAGAGTGCCACTGTAAGCCCGGTTGGGGAGGGCTCCACTGCGAGCTGCCCAGGGCCCAGTGCCCGGATCAGTGCCACGGCCACGGCGCCTTCATCCCAGACACCGGCTTATGCAGCTGTGACCCCAACTGGATGGGACCCGACTGCTCCATGGGTGAGTCGGAGCGAGCGGCGCCGAACGGCTGAAAGAGACCAGCACTTAGATAAGACTGGGGGGGTCAGAGTTTTTAGGAAACCGCCTACTCAGTCGCTGTCGTCCCAATGTTTCCGATGGTCCCAGGGTACTTGACTATTAGTTAGTCATTTTATAACATGCTGTTCTGGTATTCAAAGTGGGCTTGGATGCGGTCCACTAAAATTAAAACATGCTGCGAAACAGGAACCAGCAACTGTTACAACCATCAAGCCAAGTTGGAGCATGTTTGAACGCAACGTGGGAAGTTCTTCCCTGACAGTAACAGTATGGAGCGGAGATCTTTGTCTTTCCACCATGGTGCTGTTCCAAGTCTAAAGTAGCGGTGGTGAAGAACTTGTGCAAAACTTTTAAATCACTCCCACTAAAGTGGTTAAACTGAGATATTAAAGAGTTTTTCTTTTTCTCATTACGTGCAGTAAGGGTTTGTGAGTAGGGATACAATCGATGCATGAAGACGTAACTTTGTCAATATTTCATGCAAAAAAAAAACATAACATGGAAGCTCAAAGGAAATAAATAGATTTGCAACATTTAATGAAAGTTATATCTGAAAAGCATGAAATGCATTTTAGTCTTCCCGCTCTAGACATCCCAAAAAGTAAGAAACCAGTGATTTTACTGAACAGCAGAACGGGTTTCACCTATATTTCATCTCAGATATTAACGCAAACAGATCCTCACTGTAAAGCATGGTGATGGCAGCATCATGTTATGGGGATATTATCCTTAAATAGTGACCAGATCAGATTTGAAGGTCCTACACTGCAAAAAACATCTAGAAATAAGTAAAAAATGTCTTAAATTAAGTCTATTTACCCTTAATTTGAGCATGTAAATAAGAAAATCTGCCAATAGAATGAGTATTTTTACTCCTAAAAATAAGATAATTAGATAAAATGCACTTGAAATAAGACAAAGCAATTGTTTTTTTCTTATTTTAAATGTAAATTGTCTTGTTCCATTGGCAAAGTGTTTCACTTACCTACTCAATTCAAGAAAAAATGCACTTAATTTGAGCAAAAATAACTTATTTAGATTTCCATTTTTTTTTGCAGTGTGACACAGTTTTAACCTCCAGCAACTGCAAAGCCTTTTATATGTAAATGCATTAGTGTTTTATAAAGTTCTAGTCAAAATCTTTTTAATCAGGAAAACAGGACAAGATTGTTGCTTTAATTGCAGCAAAAGATGATTCTACAAAGTTATAAATCCATGGATTTTCTTTAAGGTTATCATAGTAAGTTTTAAAGTATTGTTGCACGCAGAGAAAACATTTGGTGAATGAAATCAGACAAAAATCTTTAAAAAAAATTTATAATCAAACGAAAGATTTTTAGCAGTTTTTTCAGAATTTATGTTGTTTTATTATGTGATTCTTTTTAAATGCAGATCTGTTTTATTTTATTTTTTTCAGTTTAATTTTTCAGATTGACTTTTACGAATTGCATTCTGTTCAAATTACATTGTAAAAATTACATTCTCTTCACTTTTGTGTTGGTGAATAGTGAGTTTATTGGGTTTACAGGACGGAGAATGTGATCTATAAAATGCAGTTTGAAAGATAGATTTTTTTTCATTTCTTCATTGCTTTTTAAAATAATTACTTGCATATAAAGTACAAAAGGGTGTTTTTTGCTTTTAAAAATAATGGAGCAAAATTCACTCCATACTGACAAGACTTTTTAGACTTTTATGTGTAAAAAGACTAAATATAATTTTCCTCTTTGTTGTCATGCTCTCGTATCTGTTGTATCTTTCTATTTCATATCCTACATCGCCCCCCCCCCCTACACACACAAACCCAAAAAGTAAAGTAGCTACATCTCCTTATGATAATAAAACAAAACCTAAAATAAGTACAAATGCCTTAAAATAAGTGTATTCACCCTCGATTTGAACAGGTTATTAAGATGATGAATGAGTGTTTTTACACTTAAAATAAGATAATTGGATATCAAGCGACTGTTGGAGGGGGGCTGTAAATTCAAAATAGACATATACCAAAAACCAATCAAACGTATACTAAGTTATAACACCAGTATATTTATGTGAATGCTAACAACAAAAAACATTATAAAAACACTTAATAAAAACAAAACATAATTTTATGCACAGGTATTAATTTTTGTACATAAATCTTGCCCTTCTAAGTATTTCTGAAGTTAAATCTGTGTTTTGCATGCTCCAATATTGAGTCACAAACCTACAAAAATATAATCTACCAGTTTAATAATGGAGACGCTATTAGTCAGCTTTAGATTTCTTTAATATACAAAAACTATTTATTTTCTGAAAATGTGTATATTTAAGAGCAACTATGCAAATGAACAAACATCTAGGAAAAGTAGACTATATTCTATTATTTTCCATGTGAATCCGAGATTGTTTGTTCTTCTTTGCTTTTTCTACAAAGTGCTTTAAATCAGTTCTAGCTGTCTTTATCCAAGCTGGGTCGGATCCTGATGGTTAAAAAAGGAGGCAGGGAAAGAAGGATAAAGCCTTAGCCTCGCTGCAGGCAGTTAGCCTCGCTGCAGGCAGTTAGCCTTGCTGCATGCAGTTAGCCTCGTTGCGTGCAGTTAGCCACGCTGCACGCAGTTAGCCTCGCTGCATGCAGTTAGCCTCGCTGCGTGCAGTTAGCCTCGCTGCATGCAGTTAGCCTCGCTGCATGCAGTTAGCCTCGTTGCGTGCAGTTAGCCACGCTGCACGCAGTTAGCCTCGCTGCATGCAGTTAGCCTCGCTGCGTGCAGTTAGCCTCGCTGCATGCAGTTAGCCTCGCTGCATGCAGTTAGCCTCGCTGCATGCAGTTAGCCTCGCTGCATGCAGTTAGCCTAGCCTTGGAGCTAAACCAGGTCCTGGAAAAGGACGTTTCTTGCACCATTTGTTTTTCAGAGGAGCTGCTGCGCATGGGAAACTTTTAATGGGGGTCAAAGGGCAAAGCTTCTGCACCCTCAGGCGGAAAAATGTCATCGATCCGACGAAAAAAGAAGTGGCGCTTTGCTCCTCATTAAATATAAAATATTTATCTTGCACAAAAAATATATATATATATATCAATATATTTCGAAATATTTTACATATTAATTTAAAATTAAATTAGAAAAAAATATATATATATTTATTTTTTTTACTATTTAATATTTAATTGTGGTGATTGGGTGGGTGGGACGTTTCTGTTTGATATTAAGGACTTAAAATAAGACATTACAGTTTGGTTTTTCATATTTCAGATGTAAATTGCCTTATTCCATTTGCTAAGAATTTCACTTACACTGGAAAAAATTGAAATCTAGAAAAGTAATTTTTTCTTAAAATAAGTGCATTTGTTCTTGGATTGAGAAGGTAAAACATACATTTTGCCAATGGAACAAAAATAATTTTCATTTAAAAAAAGAAAACACGTTTGCATTGTTTCATTTCAAGTGCATATTATCTAATTATCTTATTTTAAGAGTAAAAACACTCATTCCATTGGCAAACTATCTAATTTACCTGCTCAAATTAAGGGTAAATACACTTAATTTAAGGAATTTCTACTAATGTCTAGATCTTTTTTTCCAGTGTACCTGCCTAAATTAAGAAAAACATGCACTTATTTTAAGACAAATTGACTTTTTGCAGCGTAGAAGCTCCCATGGATTCAGATACAGCCGCCTGCTTTGAGGCAGGGTGAGGAATCTACTTCCTCCTTACAAATAGAGCTCCAACATTTGTCGTGAGAAAGGAGCTGCTTAACTTTACTACAGACAACAGTGTCTGACACCGCGGGACTCCTCCACAGACGTGTATCAAAACGTCTGCTCACCAGGGGGGCCTGCTCACACAGACGGGATTGTCACATCTCACCACATGCACCGTCGCTGCCTGCAACTTTGGAGCCTTGCAGACAGGAGCAAGAAATGCAGGCTTGGAAAATAAAGTATTTTCTTAAAGATATCTTTGCTGGTTTTGACTGAAGGTGCAGGATGGGAACATTTTGCTTCACTGATTAGGCAGGTGTTTATTTGGAGACCCTCTGAGATAAATTAATGGTGAGAGAATTATGAAGAAAAGACACCTCTGATATTTCAGCTTTATCCAAAACATTTTGAAAATCCTCAAACAAAAACATTAAAATGCAAAAAAACAATCCCCACAAAAGTGGTGTGTGACCCAAATGTGTCTCCCTGCTTGCAGAGGTTTGCTCGGTGGACTGTGGCACCCATGGCGTATGCATGGGCGGAGCCTGCCGCTGCGAGGAAGGCTGGACCGGGACCGGCTGCGACCAGCGCGTCTGCAACCCGCTCTGCATCAAACACGGGACCTGCAAGGACGGCAAGTGCCAATGCCACCAGGGCTGGAACGGAGAGCACTGCACCATCGGTAAGTGTTACTTGCGAGTGCGTGTGTGTATGTCGAAACCGTGGGTGAACACAAAAACATCAACAGCCAGTCAGACTGAAGTGGCAGCTCCCTTTTTTCCACTTTGTTAGTGGAATCTGGAAATGAGGAGTGGAGGTGCAAGCAAAGCCACGGGGAATGGAAGGAGAGGGCTGATGTAGAAAGGGTGGGTGAACCAAGCGGAAAAAAAAGGAATAAAGTTCTGAGAAGTGAAGGTGGGAGGATTAGAAAAAGAGCAGGGTTTAGTTGTTTATAGTCTGCCTCTCAACTGCACACCCAGGAGTTTTAGTTCTTCTATGGCCTTTGAAACACCAAAGTTGTGCTATGAAAGGCAAAACTCTGCAACATACTGTGATCAAAAAATAACTCTCCAAGATTGCGGGTGTGTGTGTGTGCACAGTCATCGCAGAGTGTGTGTGAATGAGCGAGTGTGTGTTTTTTGTCAGTCAATCACTGTCTCATATTGACATCAATGTCACTTTGGATGGATGACTGCCAGATCCCTTTGATTCCTTCATAGTGCTGTGAGACACAAAGTCTCCTTTTCCTGTCACCAGAGGCACTGTGATTGCAGCCCAAACAAACACACACCTACACACACGCACCCCAACACATACATATGCACTGGCGAATAGCGGTTTATGATCTCCCCATTTCCCCCATCAGAAAGTAGGGCAGCTTTGACTGCAGCATCAGTCTGAGATGAAAGAGTTGTCAGGCCTCAGCTTGAGCGCAAAGCACACTTCAGCAGCCCCAGACATCCTTATCGCAGCCTGCCTGTTATGTATTTCAGCTCTGCATGATGTTGCTTGCATTTATTTTAAGTCAAAAAAGAAAACATACTCTCCCCAACATTTACCTTCTGCACGTTTTCTCCCACTGCAGACCATGGGAGCATGGTTGACAAAGCAGGTACCGTATCTGACTCTGGTGTTTTTGTTTCTTAGCCTGTGGTGGTAGAAGCTAGCTGCTGCATTCTGTGGGGCTTGGCCTGGCTTGCCTCCGTAGACTCTGTGGTGCTTTTCTGTCCGTAGTAGACCAGAGGTGCCTGCCTCAATGACGACTTCCTCCGTGCGGTGCACTCCCCCCCCATCCTTGCAGTGCACTGCAGCAGGGCCAAGCTGTCATTGAGCCTTCATGTGTTGTGGGGTAACCGTAGAGCCTAGTGTGATGGTCCTTAAAAGTGTGGAGGGGCTGTGCTGTGGACATGTGGTTGTGCATGCGTGTGGGCGTGTGTTCCTCCCCGGTACAAGTGCTTCCCACCTGATCAGAGTAGCATCAAAAAGTCTGATCATTTCAGGAATTAAATTTAAATCTAAAGCTTTTCAATTATATCTTTATTGTCACTGTCACAAGAACAACGAAATTTTCAAAAAGTGCCATCGATCGATCAGTGCATATGCTTAAAAAAGAAAACACACCAAATGAGGGGTTTAATGTTTTAACTATTTTAAGGCCAGAAGCTTTGCTGCTCTACCTTATTAAAGGAACATTTTCTACAATTCTGGATGATAACTTCCTTAGACTTTATTAGTTTATTAGTTCTTAGTTTTATAACTAATGGTTACAGCGTTACACTTAACTTTGCATCATCTTGAAAACTACTTATTTTGGTTTGTGGTGAGCAACAAATTCCAGACCAAGAAATTGTTTGCATAAAACCAATAATTTTAGGGCTGAAACAATAAATCAGATTAATCAATTATTGAATCGTTAACTAGAATAAAGAGACTATAAAATATGTCGTTAGTCGACAGAGCAACAGGTATTATACCAACAACAAAAAAAGATCTATCTATCTATCTATCTATCTATCTATCTATCTATCAATAGATAGATAACATATATAGATATATATATCTATATATGTTATATAGATATATATTTTTTTTTTAACCATTAAGTTAAAGAAACTTTCTGTCTGTCAATGCTGTTAATCCTTTAATCGTAAAAAGAATCGACAGATTAATCGATTTGCAAATAAGTCGTTAATTGCAGCCCTATTTTGATAGTTTTTATTTTTATTTATTATTTTTAAACACTAACAGGCCATGAAGAAAATTAACTCAAATGAAACAAAAATAACAAGTCTATCTTTAAAATGTAAGGAGTGGAGGTAGAAATGTTTCCAAAAAAAAAATGACTCCAGTAAATTAAAAATGGCCTAAATTTCAAACTTAAGCAAAGTAAAAAAGTTTTTGTATTTCAGAATCAGAATCAAGTTTATTCGCTTACAAGGAGTGTGACCTGGTGTTGATGCTGCAGACAAATTTAATATATACAGAATCAATAGCTATACACAATATAAAACATCCAGTATACTATATGCCATGTATAGTATATAGATATATACTATATGTTGTTTACTTTGGTACTTGACGCCGCTTTTCAGAGGTAGGTAGTAACTAGTCATAGTTACTCTCTTTCATTTACTTTTAATGGAGTAATATTCCATTGTTTACTTGAGTACATTTTTCGTGTTGCTCTACCCACCATCAGTAATTTCAGCTTTTCAGAGATCAGGTGAAAACACAGTAAACATTAGAGCTGGAAGATCTACTGAAAGATTGATTTAAATTTAGTTTGAAAAAAGTGAAGTGGTAAAGTTTTTCTTTTTATGTTATTTTGTCATCATCTTACATATTATTATTTTTCACATAATTTCAAATACCGAAATTTGAGCACAAATATCTGATAACATCACTTCTGATGTTCATCAGGCAAATACTACGACTCTTTTACTCTTACTAGGATATTTTTTGGGATGACTTCTTCCTATGTTTACATTAGTGTGAAAATGTATAATAAATCCACTTGTAATTGATGGAAATGTTTGACACATTGAAAAGATTGGTAGGAAACCAGAAGGTGTGCATTAATACCTGCCATGGGTACAACCAGAGACATTGAATTGGAGAGTTCTGACAAGTCCATTGGCTACATCAGCAACATTTCAGAAACCCCAACCGCAAAGCATCGCGCATAAGAGGTTAGCCGCTAAAACTAGAATAGCAGCAGACGTTAGCAGAACACGACAGTAGAAAATTATATTTAGGCTGCTCTATTTGTCTTTTATCATGTGAACAAAAGATTAATAAAAAAATTCACATGGCTGATAACGGAGCTATAGTATGGAGTTCATACTCTCAATAAGTAAGCTTTTTCTTAATAGTTAATGTATTTATGTAAGCAAAAAAATTGTTGCTTATTCAGGAGGAACATGTCTTGCAAAACAATGACTGGATGCAGGCAGTTGGTTTTCATTAACCAATCTGACTGAACTGTTTCCTTGTTTGTTGTGAATTAGTGCTTTATAAATAAACTGAATTGAACTGAATAATTACCAAAGACATTCAGATATTGAATGGGCCAAATCATGAGACCCCCTATCAAACTAGCTGTTTTGGTCCTCTGCTGGCAGAACACTCCTACTCCATGGCTCTGGGTACAACCATCACATTCCTCATGCAAAGCCACTCGTGAGCTGGAAACACAACATAAGTTTTCAAGGCACCTTACCGAGACAATTCAACCAGGCAATACAGTCAGATTGCTGAGGAAAACCAGCTGATTGCATCGACTCATTGACTCTTCAGCAATCCCTCACACTAAGCATGCTTGTAGCGACAGTGGAGAGGAAAAACTCCCTTTGAACAGGAAGAAACCTCCAGCAGAACCAGGCTCAGTGTGAGCGGCCATCTGCTGAGGCCCACTGGGGTTCAAGGAGACAGAAGCAGACATAGAAAAAGAAGCATAGATACAAAAGGCAACTGTCAACCAGCTCCACAGGCGGCCCCGTCCAGGAAACACACAGCCAGGCAGACGAGCTCCGAGCCAGCTCCCATGTCAGAGGATGAAGAGAGCACATCCAGTTAGTCACAGTCAGAGAAACAGGACTACACTGGAAAACAGGCCAAGCTCCAACATCTAGAAACAAAGGTGTTGATGGCATCAGCACAGCTGATATTTCTCTCCAGGACGGAGTCACAGCCAAACAGGAACAGACCAGATGAAGCTACTATGAGAAAAAGCAGAGAGAGCAGAACGTTAGAGATTGAACTAACAGATTCTGCAGAGTGGGAGAATAGAGATAGAATGAAGCAGAATGATGAAAAAGGGGTCCCTATGTCCTCCAGCAGTCTAAGCCTATAGCAGCATATCTATAGAGATAGCTCAGGATAACATAAGTATTTTGAATGAGGTATAAGAGTCAAGGAGAAACTTCAAACCTGACTGAAATTCTTTGGAAGTGAATCTTAACAGTACTTTGATAGAAGCCTTCTTCTCGCTCTCCTTTAATAGCTTAAATGGTGAAGCTATACCACAGTGCTCAAACCGAGGTGTGGTACTTTTGGCCGTTAACTTTACATCAACTAGGATACAGAACTTTAACATATCAACCAGCTTCTTTAATAAAGAAAGTGTCAATGCTGTGTTTATATTTTCCTTCCTCAAAATTAGGCTTAATTCTTTAAAATGTATATAGTGTAATTAATCTATAAATGCATTTCACATCTTGAATTAATTTATTATCAACTTTTTCCCTATTGAGAATGACCTGTATGTCCGGTGTGAAACCTAAAATAAACCCCACTTTAAAAACTCAACTATTCTAGTCATGTAGCGCATAAACGCATTTGCTTCACACACAAGGAGAAAACGATCAAAGTCGCAGCAAACTTTGGAGGTAATTGGTAAATTTCATAGGCCACTGATGCAAGGCGTTAATGTTGTGTCAAAAAATGCAGCGCTGTTAAACGTGTGTGTCTGCGTGTGAGTTTACATTTGGGTGTTTGTGGCAACAGTCACGGCCACGCTAGAGTGGCTAATAAATTCATTTTGCGCCCACGTGTGTGGACTCATATCGTAGTGAACATACTGCATTAAGTCCAGCCCTTCTGTCTCATCAAGCCAGCCTAAAGCAAGAAAAACTGCAGGTTAATCAGTCAGATCACATAAGGATAACCTAAATAACAGTTAAGGGCAAGAAATCGAGGCAAACAGAGAAGTCTGCGAGTCCAGAGTGACTTTTCTCACCGGCTCTCAGCGAGAATGCTTATTAGATACCCCGGCAGCTGAACCTGAGTCAGGTTGCGCGGAGCGGCACAGATTGCCTGACAGTACAGGTCCCTGGAGCAACATTGAGAGTGTCCTCTCAACCCTCGGCACTTAATGGAATAGCTCTCATTGTTTTATAAGGAGCTAGCTCAAAGAAAAAAAGAAAATTGCCAGGTTAAAGATGGAGCAACACACGTAAGACCAAGCAACAGCGGAAAAATCAAAGGCAAACTCCTAAAGTCTGGTGGCTTATTAAGAACAGGAGAAGCAGTGAGCGGAGCTTTGTTGTAGAAGTTTTCCGGCCCATCTATAAGACGTGGCGGTGGATTTATAGCAGTAACCTTTACATGATGACCTTTAGAGCAGACGGAGTTGGGCACAGGGGGATGGAGAAAATACTGCAACTTTTTACCACAATGTCTCAACTTAGTTTCTTTGTCCTTCTTAACTCCTTCTCTGCTCGCGTTTCTGCTCATCTCTCTCTTTCTCTTTAGTCCCTCAGTCTCACCAGATATCTATCCCGTCGTATACGCCGCCAACCAGATGCTGTGTGCTGACCCATAACCCAAGGCAATTTCTCCTCCTTTTTAAGGGGATTTCATCAGAGTCCAACTACATTACTGAGGAGGGTGGGCTTAATAGTTTCTGAAATCCCACTTTATTCTACTTAGTATGGGGGGAGTATTGACTGGGTCCTGACATTAAAGAGAGAGGAGCCTTATGCGAGGCCTGCCCAGGCAAGCCAATCAATGCCCGCTATGGATTGTCCTGTCCGGGTGCTTCATAAGTATTTGGCCGCTTTAAATGGCAACTCCATTTAACAGGCAATCACTGCTAACTGCCTTTGTTCTCCGAGCTCAATACTTGGGGACAATCTATTCAAGTCTGACTGTTAATGCGCCATCAGGAGTCCCCCGATGCTGAGAATGCAAATAATTAAAGATAAAACCTTTTGACTCCATTCCTGTTGTTGAGCTGAAAACTTGGCTAAGCTGCTCCACTTCACCCCCCCACCCCTCAAAACAAGATGGCGGTTATCCTGCAAGTCCTTTTCTTGACTTTCCCCCACAGCCCAGCCGGTTGAGACATGATAAAACGCCAATCGGAGTGAAATGCCTGTTAATTTAGCCGCTGCCACGGTTTAGATTGCGCTATTTGTATTCATAATGCATGGTTTTATTGATGCAGCGATTTGTTGGAGGGCAAAACTCTGCAGTGCAACTTGAGTGAAAATATGTTCATTAATCTACTGAGCAGGACTCGGTAAAAAGCATTTCATATTCATAATCTCTCACAGGGTTATTTTGTCCGTCCTTGCTCTGTGGCGGCGTGCTGCCGCAGAGTGAGAAATGTCGGGTCATATCTCCCGGGTGCGTTGCGCCGGATGTTTGTGTGTCTGAGTGTATATATCTGAGCTGAGTGCCTTCCCTGCATGTATGTATTGTTTTATCAGTCTTTTCCTTCATCTCCCGTGAGGAGAATTAGAAGTGTCGCGTCCCGCTCCCTAATTTATTGAAGAGGAAATCCCAGTGACAAGTTTGTTTAAGGCGCCTTCTGTGATGCGAGGGGGGAAATATAAAACACTGACATTGCGTCGCATCGGTCCTTGAAAATTTCTAATCAGCAAAATGCACAGTGGTAAAAATGTTTGATTTAGGCTGATAGAGGTAAATGGTTAGACAGGCCCAGCAAGAGTTGAAAGCTTTTTTAAAACAACATTTCTGGCTGTCACCGTCTTGGCCTCAAATCCAATTATTAAATCGAGCTTAAGTACTTCCTATTGGGTTTTCATAACCCAGAGTGTTTATTTCATGTCGTTTAGCAGAAGCCTCTATGGATACAATCAACTGAAATTAATATATGACTAATCTTGATTGACTAAATTAACATCTTGGGATGGGCTTTAGCTGAGCCATAAGTTAGATGAAAACCTCGATGCAGCCTCATATCTGTCTACATCGAGCTGGAGGCAGCAGTTTGGCTGCTTGGATTAGCATATAGACTAAAAACAGGGAGAGAGAGTCCTGCCAACGCCATAAAAATGCTCAAGGTGTAAAAGCAGCAACAGGGAAGGTTGGTCTTTGAGGTACCGTTGTGCTTAATAGATTTTAGTCATCATCTTGCCTCCAGTAGTGATGGTGGGGGGGGGTTATGATTTTAATAGACACATTAAGCAAACAACTATGTACAATAGGGAAAGTTTAAGTAATTTCACAATTCCTGATAACTGTAAAACTTGAAAACTAGTTAAAAAATTTTTATTTCATTTAAATTCAGTTTACTCCCCCAGACTGCCACTCTGGGTCCCTGAGCAAGACCCTTAACACCACAGTGCTCCCGGGGCGCCGCACAATGGCAGCCCACTGCTCCCCAAGGGGATGGGTTAAATGCAGAGATAAATTTCTCCAATGTGAGATCAATAATGTTCAATCTTTTCAGTTTATTTCTAAGTTTATTTATATAGCGCCAGTTCTGAACACACGTGATCTCAAGGCACTTTACAGAGACAATTTAACCAGATCATACAGTCAGATCGGTTTAAAGTTAAAAGGAAAACCATTTACCGTAATTTTCGGACTATAAGTCGCAGAAGCTAAATTGCATGATTTGTACATATACAAGCCGCACCGGACTATAAGCCGCAGGTTATTTATGTTTAATTACCATATGTTTCGTTTATAGAAAGGATTGTCGGGAAAGAGGCAACTGTTTGGGGAAGCTCCTATTTATTAACATTTCAACACAATTGAATTGAGACAATTCTTCCTGCTGGCGTCTCCAACGTCTCCCCGTTGACTCGTTGATTCCGAGGTTATGTGCGGCAGTTCTATTTCCTTCGTTTACTACCAAATTGGCTGCCTTTACCTTAAAAGCTGCATCATATGCATTTCAACGTTTGTTTTCCATAATGAGGGTGTCACACAAACTGTCTCGCAATGTCCGTCTTTCTCAGAGTCTGCTTCTGGAGGTACCGTATTACCCTAGTGGCCGTTAGCTGTAAAAGTCCATAGATAAGCCCCAAGGTCGGAAAATGGGGAAAAAGTCGCGGCTTATAGTCCGAAAATTACGGTAAATGCATCATTGACTCGTCAGGAATCCCTCAAAGCAAGCATGCCTTTAGCGACAGTGGAGAGGAAAGCTCCCTTTGAACAGGAAGAATTAAATCCTAATTAACACCTGATCACAAAACAGTAAATCTCACTAGTTTTTCGTCATGAAACTAAACTTCATTCTCACCTCTTCTAAGGAAAATCAAAGGCAGTATTCTTCCAGATTCTGAGAATAGGATATAACTCTTATTGGTATCAGGGGGAACAATACTGACCATCTTAAACAACCCAACTCACTTTTGCAAAAGTCAAAATAGATTGTTAGGAAAATTATATTACTACTGGGCAATTAAACAATAGCGATATATACCGCGCTACGCCTGACCAGTATAAATAGTGAATACATCTGTTAAAATGTTCTATGAAGTCTCTGAATTCTGATCTAGAACCGCACGGCATTCTGGGGGATGTAGGCAGATGTATTTAGCCTATCAACCTCTCACAACCAAATTAAAACGGGTGTAAAAAAATCGATTCTGTTTAATATTGCAATATTTTACTAGACAATAGTAGTATTAGTTTAAAATGGATCTTAAATGTAAATATATTAGGCAAACATCCATCTAATTGTCTTATGAGGATTCCAGAGCTATATTATTTTACAAATCACAACATATCGTCTTTTTTATTGTGTCAGGATAATCTGAATAATTTGTATTGTGTTATTTGTATTAGGGCTGAACGATTTTGGAAAATAATCTTATTGCAATTTTTTTTCTTTATAATGCGATTTAATGCAAATTTTTTTCCCCAGTTTAATTGATCATCAATCAAATCAATCTGTTTCATCGCTGTGCAGATTAGGTGCTAAAAGACACGCTGTGTCCTAATTAATGATCGCGTTCTGCCTACGATATATTTCAACCAAAATTGCAATTTAATTTTGACTTTTCTCTACATAACCACAAGCAACAAAAATTGCCTCTAAATAAAGACAATTTTAAACAAGGACTATTTATGTTTTTATTAATCAGAATATTATTCAAGAGAACAGCTTTTAACTGATTTGGACATCAGTCCTTGTTGAACATGAAGTCCAGTCCAAGTGCAACCAACAAACCAGTCTATGTATTAAACTGATTAACTGGTACTTAGTGCTATGTATGAATATATAAACTCTAAAACAAGTAATAAAATTAGATTATCTCACTGCTGCAACTGTCTTCCCTTCCATGTGGAGGAAAATCCACTTTAAACATTTTACTGACACCTAAAGAACGCGTCTGATTCCCTTATTGTTACATAGCCAAAAATTGCAGACGAAATTGGAAATGGCATTTTTTTCAATCGCGATTATATTGGAAATGCGATTAATTGTTCAGCCCTAATTTGTATCATCATGATATGTAACATATTGCTAAAGTTTTGTCAGTTCACATGCCAAAACTCTAAGAAATGTTTCTAGGATGGCTGACCTCACTTTAAAGATTACAGGTTATGTATAATTAGGGTTAGGGTTGCAATTTTAAATCAGCCTTTTTTTCCCAATAGGCTTAAATTTGAATAAATAAAACAAACAAAAAAGATTAATGATATTAAAGACATATATTGTAATAGATTTTTTTAGCCATATTGCACAACCCTAGATTATAAACAGGACATGTGTTGAAAGCTCTATCTGGTTCGCATGCAGAGAATAACAAGATTTATAGGAGTTTCTGCTGAGGGGAAAATAAAAGGTTCCCCAATATATCATTGATTAAATCCACAAAGCTTTCCTAAAAGTTCTGATTCCTGTTTTAATAACGTGCTAATACATTTCATCCAGACTGGTGTTTTACCTGATTTCAATCTTTATGCGAAACCAATTTGGTATCATCCCTTTCTAATAAGGTGTCTTGAGATTAAATATAATTTCCATATTTGTCCTCTATTAAAATGAGTCAGACTATGGTAGATAGTGTGAGTATGAGGAATATATTACTGTCCTCTCTAATTGCCTTCTTTATTTGCTTCAAAGTCACTGTTGAGTTTGGAGAGCTCTTCCCTCGCTGGCTGCAGTCTTGCTTGGCTATAGGGCCTCTGATTCTGGAAGGGTTTTTTTTTTTTTTTTGCATAAGCTTAAGTAAAGGTTTATTAGTTCATAGACTGCATATACACACAGGCTCAGACACACACACGCTCTCTCACACCGTCAAACATAATCTCATTCTCTCATGAGAAAGCATTACTCTCAGGCCATCAGAATCCCATTACCCACGCTGAATCATAAATAGAGGGAGAAAGAGAGTGATGATCGGGTGGGGTTCCATCCAGTAAGAGAATAAGTGATCTATCCACCTCAGTCCACAGACATTAGCAGCCATTCCTTAGCTGTAGAGCCTCAGAGAAAGCTGGAAGTAAAAACCTTACCTGCTGATTTAAACAGGCTGTATGTCCATGACTGTCCATCCGTTCATCTTTAACTAAAAACAAGCATCCCTCTGTTCTCTTCTCACCCTACCTCCTCACCCCCCCCCCCCCCCCCCCCCCCCCCCGACCCACTTTCTCCTGTTGCCTTCACCCAGACGGCTGTCCCAACTTATGTAACGGCAACGGCCAGTGCACCATGGGTCAGCAGAGCTGGCACTGTGAGTGTCAGACAGGCTGGAGGGGCCCTGGATGCAGTGTTGCCATGGAGACGTCCTGTGCTGACAACAAGGACAACGAAGGAGGTGAAAAAAATTTGCGGTTTAGCGGTTTTTAAGTGCAGCCTTGGTTTTGAAATGCCCGCAGAAAACAGATGACAGTGAGAGAAAGTAAGGTGATGAAGAAAAGTAAATAAAGATTAAGATACAGATCTCAGGAGATGTATCGTCTCTAGGGATAGTGAAAGTAAAGTTCTACTGGTGAGCTCTGCACTGAATATTTGAATATTTGATAAAGACATAATGAAGACTGGGTGCTTTTTGCTTTCCTCAAACAGCTCTATCCGCCCTCTTTCAGATGGACTCACAGACTGCATGGATCCAGACTGCTGCATTCAAAGCCCCTGTCAGAACAGCCCGCTGTGCCGTGGCTCCCGAGACCCCCTGCAGGTCATTCAGCAGAACCTCATGTCCCAGCCTCGAGTCCGATCTTTCTACGACCGCGTCAAGATGCTGGTGGGACGGGACAGCACCCACATCATCCCTGGGGAGAACCCATTCAACTCCAGGTATGGCAGGAAACTTATCCAAAAAAAAATAATATTTTTGAAGCCACCATAACAAGAAGTGTTGCCTCCTATGATATTTATCCATGTTTTGCTATAATAGTAAGAAAATGCTTTGGATCAAAGTAAATTGATTAGATAAAACCCAAGATATGTTTTCAAACAGATATCATTTAATCTGAAAGGTTTGTTTAATTCATTTCAAGGACTTAATTATGTGCCTCTTTATACAGAAGAGGCTCTTGCCAAACTGTTAACATAATTTTACCTAATTTATATTTTATCAACTTACATGTAAAGATACATTTTGTTCCATTGTTGTTTCGAGCGTAAAACATTTTTAACAAGTTTTGTTAATTCAAATTTGAAACAAAAATACAGAAATGTAAAAGCATTTAAATCAAAAAAGGTTTGGAATTTATTTAATTCCTTTTTTTTTTTCAAATGTCTTTTTCATATTGAAGTTTTTGAAGTTGTATTTTTTTCCAGAACCCTTTGAAAAGGTCTATATTTTCAATTTTTTTATATATATATATATTTTTTTTTTAAATCCTGTTGTTTGATTTTGGTTAAATTGAGTTTTCCAAATTGCCTTTTTTTATGCCGTTTAAAAGATCACAATTGCTTCACTTGAAGCACAAAACAAACGCATTCTGTTGACACATTGACCTATAAGGATGTTGCTGCTGACGTCCATGGAGACCAATAGAAATGCATCTTCACTCCTCACTCCAGAGTAAACCGTACTCCTCAGTCTCATTCGTTAAACGCAACTTGAAAGAATTCAATTTATGAAACTCAATATAAAATCTGTAAAAAAAATTATAATTTTTGAAAAATTACAATTTGAAAAGGAATTATGTATTTATTTATTTTAGTTTTGAGAAAACAGCAAAGTTGCTCTCAGAACCTTTTTTATTTTATTTCTAAGTTTCATTTCTGGATTGCATCTTTTTTTAAATTTCAACTTACAATATGCAATTTTTGACATCCATTTACAAAGTTATTTGCTTGCAACAATAATGAAAGAAAATTCACTCCATACTCACATCCATAAACTGTAATTTATTTTTCTTTGTATTATTGTGAAATCTGAAGGGGATTTCTTTTTGTTCTGTTTTTGTTTTTTTTACAAATGAAAATCTAAAAGAAAGTATTTTATGCATTAGGATTTAGCCTCCACCACTATTTTATCCTTAGATAAAATCCAGTGCAACAAATTGCTTTAAGCAGTCAACTAAAGCAGACTGTTGCTAGTCCTCCTCTTTTCAGTCATGCATTCCTTTGAGTTTCTTTATCACTTTAAATCCAAATAAAACATAAAGAAGTTTTACTTAACAGATGACAAAATGCAAAAAGTTTCAATGTCAGTAGATTTTTGTACAATGCACTGCAGATCCCCCACAGCTAGAGTGAATACCGTGCTTTTTCAGACTTTTTTTTATATATTATCAGTGTTAATTATTTGGATGAAAAGACTTTTCATCAGTGAGATCAAGGCTACAACTGTGGCACTCTTAAAAGGCCAGACATGAATGAGAACAGCTCTGCCTCATGGAAACGACACTTTACACTTAGTTACTTAAATATCTAACAGGCTTTAAAAGAAGATCTTGCTGATGTGTGGAATGTAGCGCTGTCCGTGGTCCTGAAGTTTATTCACAGTTACTCTATTAGCTGCAGCAGAAGAACAGGTTTAGAGGTTATTCTGTGTGCATCCCTCCCACATACATATAAATTTAATGTGTCATAGTTTATTTATATGATTGACATGAATAAATTGGGGTGGGGTGAGGGGGCTGTCTCTAATTAATGAGCGGAGGAGGACCAAAGCAACGACTGAGGGACCAAATTGGATGATTGAAGGATGGCCAGATTAAATCAGATGATGGGTTGGCCGGGGATGGTTGGTTCCCTCACTCTGTCCCTTCTTCCCTCTTGCAGCTTGGCGTCACTCGTCCGGGGTCAGGTGCTGACCACAGATGGAACCCCCCTGGTCGGGGTCAACGTGTCTTTTGTCAACTATCCACACTACGGGTACACGCTGACGCGGCAGGATGGAATGTATGTAAAACAGCGGCTCCTTGTTCAATCTGGAAACTACCTCACAGTCAGTGTGATTGGATTAGTTTAGATTAGATTAGTTTAAATTAGATTAGATTAGATTGGGATTAGATTAGATTAGCAATTTTAGAAGGAATCTTGGTAATGAGATCTACCAGTTGGTGTTGGGAAAACATCAAATTATAATGATGTTAATGTTGCTGCTGCAGAAATATCTGATATTTACATGTAATTAAAAAAATTTGTGATATGAAAAATATTTTTTGATCTTTCTTCCTTCTGCAGGAATATTATTTTCCTAATCAAACCTTGTGTCCTTTTTTTGTAACTCTGTGTCTGTGTCCCGTTCTCCTTTCCTTCTAGTGTTTCCTTCTAGAAGCATCTGAAGTTCTGCTAACATTATGCCACAGCTTGTGTTTCAGCAGCAGCAGCGGTCAGCTTGAATAGCTGCGCTCTAACCTCTCTGTCCGACGTTGTTTTGTCTCGGTGCTATTTCTTATTTCAGCCGTTCCTGAGATTTAAGACTTTTAAATATTTCCCAAAAGCCATGACCCTTTTCTCTCTAGTTTCTGTTACATTGCAGATGTTTACCATAGCTTGAAAAAAACCTTCATTTAAAAGCCCATTTTCTGACTTCAGATGAGATATCTGGGTCTCTACTTTGTTCTTGCTAATCTGTTCCATTTAAAGCAAAACAAAATATTTTTTTCAGGACTTAAGTTGATTTTATCAAACTGTACTAAAAGAAGGAGAGACTGTTTCTGTTAACGTTCAAATGCCTGTTCATCCACCACAGCGCTCCCCATGTGTGCCTCATTCCCACCCTGTTTTCACAAACCTCTCCAGGTTTGACCTGATAGCTAACGGCGGTGCATCTCTGACCCTGCGGTTCGAGCGCGCCCCCTTCCTGAGCCAGGAGCGCACCGTGTGGCTGCCCTGGAGCCAGTTTTATGCAATGGACACAGTGGTGCTTAAGACAGAGGAGAACACGATTCCAGGCTGCGATCTGAGCGGCTTCGTCCGGCCTGACCCTGTTGTGATTGCATCCCCTCTCTCCTCCTTCTTCAGCTCCAAGCCAGGGGAGAAACCCATCATACCGGAGACACAGGTGCAGTACCACTGACCTCTGGCTGCCGGCTAATCTCCCTCCTGGTCCCCTCGCTTTCCTCCTGCTGTCCTCTATGCCTGTCTATTGTAGCTTCTACCTCCTTCCATACGCCCCACCCCCTCTTCCTCACCATTCTCCCTTTCTTTCCAGTTTCTTTATTTCATCCCTTGTTTTGTCCTTCAGCCATCACTGGAAGCGCGACCCCCATTACTCTCCCTCTGTCTAATCCTCTTAATCCCTCTTTCCTGTGGTCTCCCTTTTGTTTTGCAGGTGCTGCATGAGCAGATCGAGGTGCCTGGCACCAACCTGAAGCTTTGCTACCTAAGCTCCCGCACCCAGGGCTACCGCTCTCTTCTCAAGGTGACCATGACCCCAGCGGTAGTGCCGATGGGCCTGCTGAAGGTCCACCTGATGGTAGCTGTGGAGGGCCACCTCTTCCAGAAGTGGTTCCATGCCTCCCCGAACTTGGCCTACACCTACATCTGGGACAAGACGGATGCGTATGGACAGAGGGTGTACGGTCTGGCCGAGGCTGTCGGTGAGTGGGAGGGGCGGCACAGACCTTTTTCACTCTCTGCACTTGCAGAATATATTAAACGATTTAACACGAAGGGGGCCACCAGCAGTGACAGAAGCAGGGAAGCTAATTAGGAAGCCTGAAGGAGAGATAATATAGCAGAAAGCCATCTTAAAGTACAGCAGTAAGGCCACAGCAAATGGCTCTTTCTCTCCATACGTCTATTTTTCATTGAAGCTGCTTTGAGTTCGGTCAGCCAGCCGTAACTCTGGTGAAGGGTTATTAGCCATCAGGGCGCGTTAGCCGTTAACTACTGGAGCAGCAAGCAGGAGTCCAGGGGAGCCTCGCTGCTATTACTTTCTGCTGTCACAGTCACTCAGAGAGGCTGTCAGCCAAATACTACTGTCAAGACACAGGAGCCGTGAACATCCAGGACTTGGCTGTGGACTGTAGTGGCATGGGGGGCATAGCGTTTGGGAAAATTGGATTCAGTCAAATATCCCAAAGTGCCACCCCACCCCAACACCCACCCTCTGACTAATTGCTTCTCTACATATGCAATAGGGTCAGGTTTTCTATCGTTTTAACTAAACTGCTCTGGAAAAGCTGCTTGTAGAAGTATTTAGAGCCCCTGAACATTTTACACTGTTTTCTTACAACTACAAACTTCAATATATGTCCTGCTTAATGCAGATCGTCAACATATATTGGTGGCTTATTGTAGAAGGAGAACGAATAGCCTTTTTTATTTTACAATAAAAATATAAAAAGCCTGGATCTCATTTGTCTTTAGTCATAATCTTATACACCACTGACACTACATGCCTTCATAAGTCACTTTATAAGTAATTAGAGTTTGCCAAAGTAATGGGAGAGATTATAGGGAATTTAAAATATTAGAGATCTCTAAAACCAAATTCAATTTAATTTTAATTTAGTTTATTTATTCAGCTCCAATTCACAACATATTTCATCTGAAGGGTCTTTACAGAGACAGTTTAATCAGAGCCTAGATTCAGATTGGACAGGAGGCTGGCTTGAATTTGATCATCATGGTAAAACAGGCTATTGGTGGAAAAGATGCACTGATACTGGTAATAGTCCTGCTATTGAAGAAGATTCAAAGTTTCTGAGACTGACTAAACGCTCCATAGACGGTGGTTTAGGGTTAGGAGTGTTCAATCGTTTCTAAAATAAATTCAAGTTAGTTTTAAAAAATCTCTTGAATAGCAGGAAATGTACCTCTTTATAGGCATTGGTCTTTTTAATTTAATAAATTCAGACAGTTTGAACCCCTATAGTCACAGAGATGTTTGCAGAATACAACTGGTTCTTTGGATGGATGGATGGATGGATGGATGGATGGATGGATGGATGGATGGATGGATGGATGGATGGATGGATGGATGGATGGATATGGATGATGGATGGATGGATGGATGGATGGATGGATGGATGGTAGATGACGGATGGATGATGGATGGATGGATGGATGGATGGATGGATGGATGGATCGATGGATGGATGGATGGATGATGGATGGATGGAGGGATGACGGATGGATGGATGGATGGATGGATGGATGACGGATGGATGGTTGGATGGATGGTTGGATGACAGATGGATGATGGATGGATGGATGGATGGATGGATGGTTGGATGGATGGTTGGATGGATGGATGGTTGGATGGATGGTTGGATG